AAGGTGGAAATGTGCGGAACGGACCACTGACAACACCTGAGTCTCCATGGTGAGCGCCGGGTCCAGATGTATACCCAAACTGATGTATACTGCAAACCTCACTCTTGGTGGCAAGAGTCACCCCCCCCCCCAAAGAGACGGAGTTTCCCAGACCACTGATGTCTGGGACACCCACTTGAAGGACCTCTGTCTTGCCCGGATTCAGCCTCAGTCCATTCACCTGCATCCATTGCTGAACGGCCTCCAGGCAGCGCTCAAGGGATGAAACAGCATCCACTGTTGTTGGAAAAAAGGAGATGTAGAACTGAGTATCATCAGCATACTGATGACACGAAGCCCCACATCCCCTGATGACCCCTCCCAGCAGCCTTATATAGATGTTTAATAGCATTGGAGAGATAATTGAGTCTTGCGGAACCCCACAATTGAGGCTCCACGGGGCCAAGAAATTCTCTCCAATCTGCACTTTCTGGGGATGGTCCTCCAAGAAGGAACGGAGCCAGGCAAAAGCCAGGCCACCAATTCCCAACTTGGAGAGCCTCCCCAGGAGGATACTGTGGTTGATGGTATCAAAGGTGGCTGAGATATTGAAGAGGACCAGCAGAGACATTTTGCCCATGAGCCTCCCTCAATAGGGTGACCAATGCCATTTCTGTGCCCTGCCGTGGCCTGAAGCCAAACTGGAATGAATCCAGGGCATTGGTTTTATCCAGAAGAGCCTATGGATCTATATAAAAGGATGCAGAGGGTTTCTACAGCTCCCCCAAAGGTTGCATTTGCAGCCTATGTTCTGTTCTATTTCCAGCAGTGCATGTATCGAATGGCTTGGATTAGGGAGACACATACCCAGAGCCAGTGGATGAACATCAACAGTGGCTAAGGGTGCATTCAGGTAGGGGTTTGTCTTGCAATTTGGGGAGAAGGATCTTTTTTCTTTCATTTTTGTTCTTCTTTCCCTTCCAACAGAGGAAGGGCCAAATAGGATCGCTTGAAGTGTAGTGTGGTTTCCTGCCATGACACCACCCTATCTTTGCATATGGATGCAAGGATTGCCCCAAATGATATAATGCATCTCAAAGTGATCTGTTTCAAAATGATCCAGGCTGGGACAAATTTTTGGTCTAGTTGTACCTTGAGTCTTATTACCTGAAGGAGACGACGGTCTTGCTCTGCAGCTGTCAGGGCTTTCTGGAGCTGTGAGATGTTCTCCTGCAGAGAAGAAGAGCCAGCAGTAGCATCAGACAGTGCTTGAGACAAGCTCTGCACCCGGTCCTTTAGGTGGCTCTCTGTGCCTTCTGTCCTGGCTAGTGAGTGGGTTAGGTGGTCAAGTTCCTGCTGCAACAGTGCTCTTTTGCTCTCTCCATCTCCCAGCTGGCAGCGATGTACTCGGATCTGCTCCTGCAGGGACTGGATCTCGGTATCCCTCTCAGCCAGGTTGAGTTGGGCTCGCTGCAGCTCTCCTTCCACAGTCCTTTGGTTCAGTTCCAGCTTGGTGGCACGACCCTCTGCTGCCTCCAGCACTTCCTTCAGCTTCCTCTTCTCTGTCTCTAGCTTAGTCTCCTTGGCTTTCAATTTATTGACTTTCTCCTATAAGAGAAAAAAGAATCAGTATCTTTGATCCATTCCTTCCTCCCACAGACTTAAAAAAGTACTGAGTTTTTATTTTAGAAAATTAATTGTTGAAAGAAAGATTAAAAAGAGGGGGGAAGAAGGAAGTACAGTGGGGTCTCTACTTAAGAACGTCTCTACTTAAGAACAATCCAACTTAAGAACAGCTCCATTTGCTAAATTTTGCTTCTACTTGAGAACAGAAATCCAAGATAAGAACAGGAAAAAAAACCTTTCCTGCTCTTTTTTTAAGGTCATCTTAGGTTAAAAAAAATTCTCCCCCTAGTGGTAGAGTACGTATTAACCAGCTTTGCATTAGTTCCTATGGGAACTAATGCTTCAATGTACAAACGCACCTCTACGTAACAACAACAACAAAAAAACACCCAGAACGGATTGATTGGTTCTCAGTCCATTCCTATGGGAAATTTTGCTTCAACTTAAGAACATTTCAACTTAAGAACACCATTCCAAAACGGATTAAGTTCTTAAGTAGAGGTTCCACTGTAGTTTCTATGGACGGAAAAGAGCAGATACGGATTAAATGGTTTTCAATGCATTCCTATGGGAAATGTAGATTCAACATAAGAACTTTTCAACTTGAGAACGACCTTCCAATACGGATTAAGTTCTTAAGTAGAGACCCCACTGTACACATACTACGATAATAAAGAGAGAGAATCGTTTATTGCTCAGTCAAAAGATCATTGCACTACAATATTAAAATAAACGGAGATAAAATAATGCATAAAATTGTTATATGAAAACTGCCACCTAACATCATACCTCTAGATTATATAACACTTCACACCGAAGATATCCACAAATTACTGCACTCCATGCTAAAATAGTACAGCTCAAAGGCTATGATAATAATATAAGCTGACTGTATGTCCACAAAAAGATTTGCTTGTAGTGGCCTTTGGTATAATTGGCATTTGCTTGTAGATCTTTCGACCACTGGAACATGGATGGTAAGTATTTATCTTTGCAACCTTAGAGTGTGAGTCTTTTAGTGACTGTGAAAGCATGCATGATTGAACCACACTGATAATCAGTTAAACGCCAGTTCACATGAACATAGATTAAAAGTACATCATAGGCATCCTTCAGTCTCGAGAGACTATGGTAACATGCTCTGTATGGAGGACTTGGAACAGCATCTAGTGTTTTGACGCTGTACGTGAAGTTGGAGTGTCCTCTCCAGGGCACAAAGCCTGGGTAAAATAATATGGAGGATAGGCTGTTACCCAAGCAAGCAGCAAATCCTTCCCCTCCACATCACTGAAATAGTCTAATGGAAAGGCAAGAGCCAATACAACTGGTTCCAGCGACATGGCAGGAGTTGCCAGAACAGCAGCAACTGCCTCGGGGACTCTGGCAAATATTTGTCTATTACAAAATTAATATGCTGTAATACATCCAGCCAGAAAGGAAACACCATTGAGCACAACCATGTCATATGACACAAGGAAGCATATTCTACTGGGGGGGTGGGAACTGAAAGAATGTGCTTTGAAGATTAGACTAGATGGCACCACAGCCTTACTACTTTAGGTGACTATGGCCAGAAAGTGAGAGGCATCCCAATCTGAAATTTGGACAGGAGGTTCCCCAAGTTGCTCAGACCATGAGCTGTATAAACTGAGCACAGCAAGGAAGAATACTAAGCTAGAAACCTCAGCCGTATCCAGGAGCTAAGCCTGAAGGTGTATAGGGCTCAAAGAATGGTAGGGGAGGGGGCATCCATGCAAACCCCATTCCTATATATCCCCAACACACCAAGAAGTCATGTAGGCCTTTGTGTATTCCATGTGAAGGTCTCCATAAGCACAGTAAGCACATTCTACTGGATTCCTTACAGCACTTTTGTGATCAGGGAAATGTGAGCATTTTCAGCCAAGGACAAAAAAGAAATGAAAGAGTAGGTGATACTTTTATAGCCCACTGAAATCATCATATGTGGATTTCACCAGGCATAGCTTTCTTAGATGTAAGTCAGGACAGGTGCAGGAAGCAGTATGGTTGTTGCTTTAAAGTTACAGCTGAGGCAGCTGTGGACTGGATTTAGACATGGCACATCCGCTGTAACTTTAAAACGACAACCATACTGCTTCCTGCACCTCTCCTGACCTATATCTAAGAAAGATGTGCCTGGCTAAATCCCTCTTGCCAACAACTTTTGGACTTTACATCTAAGAATAACTTCCCTCACAAAACCCATCTTGCCATGAACTTTTGGACTTTTAAGTTCTTCACACTGGTACAAGTGAGATGACGTGCTGTTCATCCATGAAAGTTCACATGTTGTATGATGTTTACAGTGATCTATAAAAGTATCACCTATTCTTGCAATAATAAAAGATATACAAAACACAGAATTCTTATCAGCAAAAATGTGAACAAGATTAGAGGATGTCTTTCCCCTGGCAGCTTTGACAGTGGGAAGGATGCAATTCCAGACAATGACTTTAAAATAAGGTGCTCTTAAAAATAAGATATCAATTAGTAGTTCCCAGTCGTGGGCCCCAGGTGTTCTTGGACTAAAACTCCCAGAAGCCTTCCCCACTAGCTATGCCAGCCAGGATTTCTGGACGTTACAGTCAAACATCTGGGGACCCAAGGTGGAGAATTACTGGTTTAGAACATGGGAAATGTTGGAGATGTGGACAATGTTCAGGTCACAAACACATATTGGTGAGAAAATGAACACACTCATTCTCTATTTTATTTGATACTGAGAAAAGAGCTGGCTATATACTGTACTTCCTACTTATCCCTTGAAAAAAAATTCCTGAACTATCTGAAAGGATCTATATAGAGAAATGATATGCAGCTAACTATTAGTTTAAAATCTCTATAATTTCTTGTGGGAGGGGTACTATCTGACCTCCTTTATCAGACTTTTTTTAAAAAAATTGGAATATTGCAATTATGATTACATTAATGTCATGACTGGACCTCAATAGAAAAATATGCTAATATAAGGCCATTATCAATAAATTTCAGCTGCAAACTGCTGCAGAGGCCTTGAGAGGGAAGTTTTCCTGTCAAGTAAGGTATAGTGGGATTTCTGGGTCCTGTTTTTCTTCCACTCTCAAACTGGAATTGGGCTTCTGCCCACTTTCAGTTTCATGGGGAGCAGCTAGTACAGCCTCTGGCCAATCCAGGGCCAAAATTGGCCCTTGGACTTCTGAAGCTTTTCATGCCTGATTTAGGATTTCTTGTTGTTATCCCTTTTAATTCATTCTTGATTTATTCACCACATCCAAGGAAAGATTGTGTGGTGGTAGGATGTACTCTCAGTACAGTACTGAAGATATAATTGGCCATAGGCAGAAAGCAAGTGAGTAATACTCGAGAGTGCTTTATTGTTTTGCAACCAACATGGTTCCGTTTCCGACACACCTCATGCACTCACAGTCTTTGCTATCCAGAAAAAAGTACCACTTACCACATTGTCAAGTTCACAATGAGAGTTACTGACACCACTGATATGGAAACTTACCAAATCCCAGCCTCATGGTAGCATTAAAGAAAAGGAAAGAATTATGTTTCTGTGGGAATAGATGCTGGTGAAGTTCATATCAGCCTAACCAGTGACACAATTAAATTATTGGTAAGACCGACAGCCGGAAGAAGACATTCGATAAAAGCTCTTGAGGAGAAGACCCATCAACCATTTTTCCCCATTGGGGTTCTCTATCTTTAATTTGAGTGTGTATCTCTTTATAGGAATAAGGATGGCTATTTTTTTAAGTATTAATCTGGGTACTAGGAAATACATTTCCAAGTACCACCAGTTATAAAGCACAGTTACACTATTCTACCAATGTTCCCTTAATGAACTTTTCCTGGTAAGGAAACAGATGGAAAAAGTGGCGGATAAGTGCAGAACTGTTACAGGCAGATAATGGCAACACCTCTATCCCCTGTAAAATTTCATGAATGAGATAAAGGGACTGCACAATAAAAATGTAACCTGGAAGCACACCTCCTGAGTACTCTAGAAAATCCTGGAAATGGTCGCCAGTGAATGTCACAGGTTGCATAACATGACAACCTGAACCCAACCCAACCCAAGTGGTTATCATTATTATCTATATCAGGGCAAACTGAGGCTAATGGGCCACAGTGGCAGCCCCCAAATCCATTTTCTAGGAAATTCACTACTATAGTTGTGAAAAAAAAACAGTACTGGTTTTCCTTTAAAAGAAGTTACACCTTTTTTTAAATAAGTGGAATTCCATTAACAGGAGGCTTCTTTAGAAGGTATCCTCCAGCCTAGTGGTTCCCAACCTTGGGCCTCCACATGTTCTTGGACCACAACTCCCAGAAGCCTTCACCAGCACCTCTGCTGTCCAGCATTTCTGGGAGTTGAAGTCCAAGAACATCTGGAGGCAATCCAGCCCATCTCTTTACAACTCCTCTATATCTTTTACAAATACTTCAGCCTTAACAACCACCAGGTATGGGTTAGTGTAAAAGAAAGAACCACAACCCCTATCCTGTTAATTCCATTTGATCCCCTTGTGGATATGGACAACTGCTCAAAAGTAAGCGTTAAATAACATGTACTTCTCAGGACAACTATCGTAATGCCTAGCATTCCCTGCTCCATGTTAACAATTTCTCATAGGATTTTTTTCTATCTACCCTCTTAACTAACTGACTAATTAATTGTGTGCCATAATGTTACTTCTGATTAATGGTGACCATTTCTAGGATTTTCTAGAGTGAGGAGTAGTGTACCAGTCCCTTCTTCTAAGGTGCTGTGGGACTATGCAGTTTGCCCAAGGTTACATAGGCCGGCTCTTCTACTGGGAAGCACAGTGGGGAATCAAATTCCCAGCCTCTGCCTCCACGAACAAATACTTAACTCACTGAGCTATTCAGCCAGCTATCTAGCCCTTGGGGGGCTCTCATGAATATTATTAGGGAGGTGCCATCTTTTGGGGTTATATTTTACAAAGCATTTCTGCTCAGCAAAGTTGCAAGAGGGAAAGACAGGCAGGTGAGATTGATGAATTGATTGACCTTGAGAAACGCTGAATGCCTCTGCGTAAGATCAATATAAAGGCGGCAGCAGCAGCAGCAGCAAAGTATGAGTGAAAGCATAAGCAGCAGAAGAAGCAAACCAGCAGAAGAGAGGAAGAAAGAAGGAAGGAAGATGGAGGAGCTGCCGAATGAAGCAACAGAATGAAAATATGCTGCCAGATGATGTAAGAGGAGTGTGCATGAATATTTTTTCATCAGTGAGAGAAAACGGAGAAGAAACTGTTAAAGGATTGATGAGCCCTGAAATTACAGAGGCTATAAGCAACTAATTTAAAAGCAAGTAATAAGCAATGAGAAACTGTTATACCTTTTGGACAACAAGTATTTAACTCACATGAATTAAATGTGAATCATGCTTTTGTAAAATAAATAACTTTAAATTTAAATTTATTAACCTTATTCAAGTTAAGTCTCTGCTGTGCACTCCGCTATATACAGAGGGGACTACAAACCCCATCACCATCCACCTGTTTTTTTTAAAAAGTATACAATTAAAACAAAGTATCAATGAGGCAAACATGCTTTGGGGTGTGTATCGTACATGGACATTAATCAGAGGGCACTGGGTGATTGTTACTACAGTATATGCGTTCAGGAGCAGACCTGGCTTTCCTGTGATGTGACTGTGTTTGCACTTACCTGTAATTCCCTGTTCTTTATCTGAGAAACATGCAAACTGTGCTCCAAAGTGGCCAACTGTTCTTTGAATGCCTGTCGCTCCTTTTCTGCTTTGCGAATTGTCTCCTCTTGTAGCATCAATGCTGCCTGTGCACTGCTTAGATGGCCATCTACTCCCCGTTTGCCTGAAGGTAAAAAGAAAATAATGCTCTTCAAAGGAAATGCTTGTTGCAAATTTCTATATATGCTAGAGTACTGAAAAGTCATCTAAAAGAAGCATTTTTGTATATGTTGTTGGACAATTGCATTGTGCTACCTGTTTGACCACCTTAAATTCATGTCCTAAGAATAACAAGTTAAACTCACTTAAACAATCCCTCCTTCTTGAATGTCATTCATTAGGAAGGGGTAAGTTATCAAATATCCCAAGCCTCATAAAGGATTTATTTGTCCAATAGGCTGTATCAGAAAATTCCTATTGGAAATGATAGTGAGCTGCCCTAGCATAAATACCACCTTTTAGCTCCCCCATGCTCTTGTATTTTCCCTAATCCCTGATATCTTCCTATGTTACAGAAAGCTAGGTGGAAATATCCATGACTGAATGAGGGTAGGGTTAAGCATGATTTGGATTGACATAAGAGTTCCTATTTGTTTAAGGTCAAGGGTCACCATAAATTTGTTGCCTGTAAAAAGATTTTATGAAAGTACACTTTATTATCATGAGCCAGCAGCAGGACTTTTAATGTACGATTAGCAGTAAAATAATAATATAACAACAAGAACAATAACTGCCAATTAGATAAGGGGAAAATAGAACTAATTGTTATTATGTTAACAGCTAGACTGATATTTGCAAGGAACTGGAAAAATAATTGATGTTATACGAATGGTATAATGAGATGTGGAATCTAGCTATCAATAATAAATTAACTTGTGAATTGAAAGTTAGAAAAGGATTATTGAAGGAAAATAGTTTTAATGGGATTTGGAATCCTTATATGGAATATGCATTTGCAAAATAAAGGTTATACCCCAACACAAGAGTCATTATATTTTTGGAAAGAGACGGGGCACATGATATAAATTAAGATGAAATATATTGATGGGAATATATAAATATATATAAATTTATAATCCCGATGGTGGTGGGTTACACCGTATATTTGAGTTTGATTTTATTTGTCATTTATGTTTTTGTTATATTAATAATGAAAATGTTGATGATAATGGGGAGAGGAATTAAAACCTGAGATAGAATCTTTTATGTTGCTTTCTGAGCTTTGGCTTATGCAAATCATGCACAGTATCTGAGAAATCCAAGTATCAGACAATCTTTCTTGATACATAAGTGTTCTTTTAGATTTGCCCTTAACATATAATACAGACTGGAGAAGTGGAGCAGAAAGGCGCTGAAAACAGAGTGGCAAACAGAGGTAGCTTACTCTGAACCCTCTTTATAGACACTGCCAGAGAAAGAATGAAAATAGGACGGTCTATATTATGATTCATCATTTTGGACAACCGCTATAGCTTGGTAGCATGATATAGCTGTGGGGCTGTCCTAAAGGGTGGTAGACAACTGGAGCTGCTGCAAAGCAATATTATAACTGCCTCAGTTCCTATGTGTTCCTATGCCCTGCCTTTACCACATTGTTCACTAAAATTCTTCGTATTTTGTTTTGTCATAAAACCGCCAGAAGGTATATTGGTGTATAAGATGACAATGAGTTTCAGCATGTAATTGAGACATGATGGGATCTTTCCTGAGCCAAGATGAAATAAATATTTTACTCATTTGTGTGGGAAACGGAACAATTCTAATTTAAGGTTTGGGTGATTATTTAAAACATAGGTGTGTACTCAGTCTGGGGCTTGCTCATCAGCTAGGCCTGCAGTCCAACTGTAAGGAAATCTAAGCTGATCACAATCAGAAAAAAAATCTTTCTTTAGCCCTGGTCACCGAGTATGGTATAAGGAGAGAAGGAACAAAGAAGGTTTCAAGACAGGATTCTGTGGGAAACTGAGTGAACTATACTTGTCACAGAAAGAATTTCAGGTGACTGAGTAAGTGAGCACCACCTAACATTTGCAAGCAATTTGCCATTAGAGAGCAAGTTTTTAAAGCAATTTCCACAGGGAAAATGATAGGAAGAGAGAGCATGAGGGCCTTAATGGAGGAATCCTTCATGAGTGAGTAATGCAGAAGGCAATCAACATGCCATAACCAGAATATTTGTGAGACTGAGCCCCAGGAAATAAAAATAAGCTTTTCCAGAAGAGCATTGGAATTTGGAGAGGATAGTGAGAAGCACTACCGCACTACCCTTTTCTTATTCTCTTATCTCTGTGTAAGAAAAAAATGAAGCACATCTATTATTCTGCTTGATCCCAGAGCATGGAGGAGCTACAGGTGAGAATTCTTATGCATAGTTTGCATGAGAACACCATGTTTGTATACATTTAGATGTCTCTCTAAAGGACTCAGCCAGCAGTAGCAGCCCCAAAATCATACTTATCCCAGGCCCCATAAACCCCCTGGGTTACCCTGTAAAGTTGAGCATGGGGGGAGCCAAAAGGTGATATTTATGCTAGTGCAGGCCTCAATCCAGAACATTATTTAAAATTTAAAAAAAACTGGGGAGGTTGCTGTTTTGAAAGAACAAGCATTCAGGGAAGAAAATACATCTTTTCCATACATCCTTTTCCAAATGTCAAGTAGAGAAAAGATTTACAGATTCCTCCTTCTGGCTGTTTCTCCACTTAAAATGGCAGCTGATCACATCTATTTTTCTTTTCTTTTTTTAAAAGGCCTCCTTCCAACTATATTCTTGCTATGTTAGCAAAGAAATAAATAATCATATTAGTATGGAAAATTAGAGGTGCATCCCTTCAAATGCACAGGAAACACAATGGAAGAGTGCATAAAGAAACATGGAAAAAGAGAACAGGCCTTCCTCGCAGTCTGCTAAAAATTTTTGGAGTTGCAGGATACGGCTCTTAGTCCGGTCATGATCAGATTCCATTTCATTCATCTTATGGCTCATATTCATCACCTGAATTCTTAGATCATCCTAGGAAGAAGAAATAGGCACACATTCATGTTTCTTACAAGGGAGGACAATGAAAAACATACGAAGTTAAGGTAGCAGGTAACTTTTTTGAATTTTTTTTGCCGTATTTATCTCATCAGTTTCATAGAATACAGAAACCAATTTAAAAATATACATCTAAAAATGACTATATAATCCCTCATGAAAAAGCTGAAGTCAAGAAATATAAAAAAATCAACCACATCTTAATTAGCTTTTGAAATGGTTTTTCTGTAGGGAAAGGGTTTTAAGAGTGTTACTAATATGAGGTCCCATGCTCAACTCAATCAATCTAATTTTGGAAAAAGTGACTCAGAGCAAGACTTAATTCACTGCGCTGAATACATGAGTGTCTCAAATTTTCTTATCAAACATTTAACCAAAATAATTTATTTAGTGTATTCTTTAGCGATACACCTTGCAAGTCCTCAGAAAAGAGTTTATATGTACATGGGAGGCAGAAGAAAGTTTCAGCTCTGCCCATTACCTGTTGCTGTTGTCATCCAGGCCATAACTGCATGCTAAAAAAAAACATGCATTGAATCCTCAGAAAATCTTGTCATGCCACCCAATATCAAGCTGTATGGCACTTGAAAAGGGCATCCAATCTTGTTCTTTTCTGTTTTGATTTTTACAGATACATGTCAGTTTCAGGCAGTACAGGACTGCTCCACAGAGAGAGGGAAAGTGGGAGAGAAAGAAATATAGATATACAGTACAAAGAGACAGATATGTGATTCCTGGTTCTTCACACTAACCAATTCAGTTGATATTATGTACTGGTAAACTTTTTGTTATATGATATGTAAGTTTTGTTCAATGAAGACTCTGCAGAAACTATAATTTGTATAAAATACAATTGCTAGATTGTTGACTAGGACTGAGTAAATGAAACACATCTCAATGGTCTTGAAAAATTGGCTTGCCTACCATTTACTTTTCACATGTTTCTTGTGAACAGGACTTAGGGTGGTAATATGAAAAACTGCAGGTGTTACGAAGGTTTTTTTTTTAAGATTAGTTCCAAATCAGGATCCTTTTAGGACTTTGTTCTCCCACAAGAAATAGGTCCAAAATCAAAAGAATCATCAGAGGCCTTTCTTGGGGGCCCCCTCATTTTGGAAGTGAGGCAGGTGATAATTCAAGATTGGACATTGTCAGCTATAATGACCTGACTCTAGAAAGTTCTCCCCAGGGAGACACATCTGACATCCAGCTGAATGTGTTTTTTTTTTAAATTCAGAGATGAAAAAATGAAGAGCTTCTGTTTTCAGACTGCAGTTTTAACTTACAGTAGTATGATAATAGCGTACTCCTTTTCCTTTGGCTGTTCTGTTTGTTTTTACTATGTTGGGTTTACCACTGGTTTTATTGTATTTTATATTGTTGTCAGCTGCTTTGAGACGTTTTACACCGAAGAGCAGTATAACATCTAATACATAAATATAACTCAGTGTGACCTGCTATCAAAATGCCTCTGACTGTTTTCCTCACCATAAAATAAGCACAGCCTGCAGATCCACATAATATTATGGAGAGCAGAAAATACTGTTTCTGGATGCATTTGAGTTTGGAGTTTTCACGTGTGTCGCTCTTCACCAGGAATGTTTCTGGTGTCTCTTGGTAAATGGTTGTCCTCAGTCTTTTTCTATTTTGGGCTGGGGGGTGCCTTGCTAAATTTGGGTTAGTATAATTTGCTACCATTTTCACTCCTTCGTGGGTTCAGCTACTTCCTTAGAGTCTTTGCAAGTGAAATCTCTTGAGTGGGTGGATGGATAATACCTGGATAAGAGCCTTCCTGGATCAGACAAAGCAGTCCAGCTTTCAAATCCCACAGTAGTTGACCCACAATAGATACTTTTGGGAAGCCCACAACAAGGACAAGAGTCTAACAGGATCCTTCCACTAATTTTACTTCACAGCTGGGATTCAGAGTGGCTGCTTGTGATAACTGAATACTGTTTCTGGTCATCATGCAGCTTACTGCACATGCATGTACACTAAAGCACCACACAATGCACAGGAAGTCTCTCACTGCAATGTTGCAGCTGTTGTCGTGCTGTCATGTATTTTGAACTGTGGCCAGGAGCCCAGCCCAAGCTCTTTTGCTGCCTGAGGCAAAGAACAAGATGGCATCTTCTCTTCATTTATATATAGAATTGTCCTAGGTAAGCAGCTGAGTTTTATTTCCAGAATGGTGACTGGACCATCTTCATCATGGACCTGAGGGCAGCAGGCTATTTTGGAGGGTAAAATAAATTAACACCACTTCCTAATAATTGTTCAGTTCTGATCATATGTTTCCAAATTTCAGTGGCAGCAGGTCAAATTACAGAATTTTGAAAAGGGATCATCAGAGATTTCTGATCATTTATTGCCCTTGAAGAAGGTTACAAAAAAAAATAAATAGGCCCAAATGTTTCAGGCTCTTTGAATTCTTTTTTTTTTAAAAAAAAATCTTGAGATCTTGGGAAGCGCCAAACACCTGGTTGGCTGAAAAATGAACCAGCACAAACCACCGAATCAGCAGTTCATGCCCATTTCAACACTCTTGCCTTTTAAATAATGGAGGAGGCTCCCATAGGTTAAGTAAGTATAGCATTGGGTGGTAATCACATATATAGGTAGAGTTTGGAAAAGTTACAACTCCCTGGATGCCTAGCCCAGCCCCCCAGTAGGCATGCTAGCTAGGCATTCTGGGGGATCAGGTCCAAAACAGCAAACTTTTCAAATGGTGTATGGAAACAAGAGGTTGCAAGCATGTCACAACTTTAATCCATGAAATCTGAGGCAAGCACAGTCTTACTTTACCAACTATACAGTACCTTCCTTGAGAGGAGGAATTAAACCAACAATAATTTGAAATTGGTAGGCATTTCTGCATTTTCAGTGTACCAAAACTCCTTCCCTTTCCACTGTAATGTTATGCAGCTTTTCCTGGGAGTAAGCACCACTGAAAAAAAGTCTAAGCACACATGCTAAATATTGCATTGTTAAGATTGCAGTGGTGTGTGATTTTCGGCAAAGGTGAATAGGTTAGAGTTGCAAAAGTGTTAACTGAAAAAATGTCATTTATGATTGTAGATATTTGTTTCCCTTTCTGCAAATGACCAATGGCCTTCAGAGCCTTGGTGGAACAAGACAACAAAGCGCGGAATGCCTTAGATTGTATGCAGCCCAAAAAGAATTCACTGATTTCTCCATTTGTTAGAAAGGCCGTTGGATGATCTGATGCTATGATTATTATGACAGCCCATGTTTTTTTAATTATTCTGGTACAGTATAAATATTTATGCATTTTTACAAGAGGCATGCTTTTGAGCAATAAATAGCACATGACAGAGAAATGCTGAACTGCTCTTGAATGTTGCTAAACATATGTCTTGGAGGTTAGTGTACGGTCAAGCTGAGCTAGGTCGGCTCATGTGATCCGGCAAAGCAGACCTGGAATAATTTTGTAGTTTTCAGTACTGGGCAAATGAGCTAGCAGTGTATCTTAATCTGACAATCATCAGGTTAGCTCCACTTGAGATGAAATCTTATGTACCCTTTCTTGGCCCAGGTTTAGCCAAGCACAGAGGCATTCTCAGAACAACAATATGTGTTCATGGGATCTAACATTTTGTGTGGAAAAAAACACCAATTAAATTTTGTAACTGTAATAAATAACGTATCTTTGCACATATTTACTTAATTTGCATGCCTTTTCTTTAGTTAACAATTGTTTACAGATCTAATTTCTTACTTTGAGCTTTTGTTTTTATTTTTGTTTTCAGAGTTAGAATGGGGCCTGGAGGAAAAAAGACTTGAAACCTTTACAGGAAAGTTATCTGAAGTAGGAAGGAAAAGGAAAAATACTACAGTTACAAAAAGAAATGTGGAACACTTTACTAATGTTAGATCTAACTTGAATATCACAAATGTAATATTGATCAAGTCTGTCTTATGTCAGTGTAAAGAATGTAAAGCAAATTTGGAAGACTGAGGCCAAAAGCTGTATATCATGGCGCAATTGCTGATGTGGAATTTGAACATAGTCCTTCAGAATCAAATGCAGTTTTCTGCAGTGTTTTAAGGTCCCTGTAAGTTTCAAAATTTGCAGTTAAAATTATGTGTGAGTTTTGAAGGAAATGTTCAACCATGGCAATCTGTTGTAGTAAAAACAACAAAGGCCTAAATCCATTTTTTTTCATTCCAGTTAGAGTAGACTTACTGAATCAGTGGTAAGTCAATACTCACATTTGTTTCACTGATTCAGTTAGTATACTCTGTTGGGACCACCAGCAGGATTTCGCCCAAAGAATCTTGCATAACTTTAAAGACTAGATAGCTATATTTGACATAAGCTCTTGTGGAGCCCAGCCAACTTAAGCAAATGTCATCATCATCATCGAACTGCAGAGCAGGAAGGATCCTATGGATCACTGAGTCCAGTCTTTGTCAAGGAGGCATAGTGGGGAATTGAACTCCCAGCTTCTAGTTCTGCAGCCAGATACCTAAACTAATGAGCTATTCAACAGTTCCACTATGATGATAAGTGGGTTGCAATTCACAAAAGCTTGTGCCAGATAAAACTAGTTAGGCTTTAAGGTGACATGACTCCTTATTATGCGTCAGATATTCCCTAATTTACACTTGTGTAACTAACTACTGGAGTTGGTTAACATTCAAATGAGACCCTTTATTTGTGAGAAGAATAAATAGGTACATTGTCTTTGGAATCCAATGTACTCAGATTAATCTATCTCTTATACACTTTTAGCATTCATTGGATAAAATCCAGAGAAGTGTAAATGGATTTTGTGTATACAGTGCTCTCCAGGCACCCAAAGACATATCTAGAAACTGATAATTTCTGGTAACACCCTTAAAGCTAACATGACATTGAACACACAGCATGATATGCTATCTTAAATGAAGTGCCTGGAAACACATGTTGAAGATGTGCACCCATGTGGTGGAAAGCAAAAAACAGACTTTTTGTTTGTTACATAAAGTCTGAACCCCAGGGCTATTCCAAGTCTGTTAAAATCAGTGATTCTTCAGAACAGTTTCAAGCAATGAGATTTGATCCTTCGCATATTTTCTCAGAAGTTCTGCTTTGTTCAATGGGTTCAAATATGTGTGCAGAGGATTTCAGCCTTAGACATTCCTACTTTCCTTTGCTTCCTTCCCTTGGACTGCACCCAATGAATAGAAGTATTGAATGAGGATTACAGAGGGTGCGGACATTCTTAAGGAAATCAAACCATGATGAAATAAGACTAAATATTTTTTTAAAAAAATCATCTCTTAAATGTTGATAGAGCTTTAAAGATGTTTTCTTCTACAGTGGTGAAGATACAATTTTTCCTGATATGTAGTAAGATAGCATTGTGCATTACAGGATGTCCCCACAATGTGTGAGTGCTAATCAAATGGCAACTAGCCAAGCAGAGTGTAGAAATCACAGAAAATGATCTGATTGATTGATCGCTCCCCATGAATAATCTAAATCAGGAGGGGCCAGCATGAATTGATTTATACTCTGTGCCTATCCTGGGGTGAGCTGTGTACATATGATCATATACCATAAGGATCAATATCCCAAAGACCACAAGTCCATAATCTTTAAAGATTAGCATTGTGACCTCGTGGTTTGCTGAAAACCTAAGTGCCAAATGCTTCTGAAAAAAAACCCCCATATGTCTTCACATACCCTCTCTCTCTGAGTGTCCCGCAGTTCCTGAAGAAAGTCCCTTAAAGCATCACGAACTACCTCTGGGTCAATTTCACTTGTAGTTTGCTCACTTCTGGAAGGTGAAGTTTGGTGAAATGGAGAATGTGAACGGCTCCTTTCAGGAGACCCTGTTCGAGAGGCTGGGGTTTGTCGGCCACTGAGTCCTGTGGAAAAATGAAATCTAGATTCCAGCCCCAACAGAAATGAGAATATAATGCATTCCCTTTAACTATCCATCTCCTCTTTGACAACAGGATTTCCTCAAAAGCATGGCTTTGGCAGCCAGACTTTCCAATTAAGCCCATCTGTATCTTCTCACAGCCTATCACAAAACAAAGCAAAACATGCCAAATGTAAGATGTAGAAGTGAGAGGGAAAACATGATAGGACACACAGAAGTATGTCAACACCTGAGGGAGTCCTGTGCTAAGTGTATTATCTAGTTTAAACCTCAGAAACCAAAGGAGAAGACTATATAGAGGATTTCTAAAGACCAGAGGGAAGGATTTGAGTGCACTGTGTAAATCAATGAAAAGTTTTTTTGCAAGATGTTGAATGTAGGAAGCTATCCTACACCCACTATTCTGTACTGTATATCTGATTGGCAGTGACCAGCCCTGAACTGAAGCAAAACTCTTCACCATTCTTTGCTGCCTGAGCCTTTTTAGCGGGATATGTCAGAGCGGTTTGCTATCATCTAACAACAGCGCTTACCTCCGAGGGAGGCCTAATGGATATAGAGTGATTAGGTGTATAGCAGTTGGATAAAATGAATAACAATGTGATGAAAAACTGCACAGAGTCAGTGACCTTGGAGCCCATCACCATCTCGTCATGAGCAATCACTGTCACTAGGCAGGCTTCAGCTTTCCACTGTGTTTGGTACGTAATGAAAATGAAATCCTGGCCCAGCAGTGAACATATGCAGTTACCTCATACAGAACAGAGCATGGAAAAGTGAACTTTATGGGCTCGCAAGTCCTCAAATCCACCAGCAAGCATGGTCTCCATGGGAAGAGTCCAGGATCTGGCAAAGAGTCATCTATCTCAGTGTCATCTAGGTTAGCCAGTTGTAGCTCCCTGCAGTCTCTTTCTCCAACCTCTGTTAACTGAGATCTTTAAAATTGGGGAAGCCAGGCACCAAAGCTTTCTTCATACAATGCCCTTGGCTCTACCACTGGTCTCTGACCTCATTCCACAACAGATCACCAAGGCCACTGTTTAAAAGGCAGGAGATGACTTCCACTTGCATCATATTTCCCACCACCTTTGCTGCTGCTCACCTCCCAGCATTCAGCCTGCTTCCATCACAACAGCTGTACTGGTTGAAGCAATAAGCCGCACAGAGCTGGGAGAAATTAATTCTTTGCACTCTAAATCCCAGAATCTCCCAGCCAACCTGGCCACTGGTCATACTAGCTGAGGCAGTCTGGAAATTGGCATCCAAAAGAATTACATTTACAAGCTCTGGGAGACTTGTGTCTTAGCTATCAGTGTATTTTATTCCTAGGACTAGGGGATGGTGGCTAGTTCTCAGTTATTGCCATCACTGAAATTCAGCATACGGCAGGAAGAAGAGTCTGACCTTTGAATGGAGAAGTGGTTCTTTGTGGAGAGGGAGTCCTGCTGCCGAGCCCCAGCGTGCGCCGTAAAGTAGAGTGCAGTGCTACCAACTTCTGCTCAACCTCCCTCTTGGCTGCCTCAGCTTTGACCAGCTCTGTTTCTAAGCCACGGGCGCGACCCTCACAAGTGCTGAGGCGCATCTGGAGATTCTCAGTCACCCTATTGGCTTCCTGCAGCTTCATCTCCAAGCTATGGAGATCATCCTTCATCTTCTTTTCTCTGCCAAAGCTCTCAGCAAGGTTCTGGGTCAAATCCTGTTGCCGAAGGCGAGCCTCTGCTTCTGTGGCAGACAGCTTCTTCTGCAAGCTCAACACCTGAAAGAGAACAGCAGGGTTTGCAGCTTGTGGTAGTGTATACACGC